CCCCCCACACACACACATCTGGAAAACTTCTAGGAGTTGCTTAGATATAATCCAAAGATAATGTTGGTTCCTCTGCACCTCTCCTCTTCCTCCCTTTTGTTTCTATAGAAAGAGTAGAAAGAGTATATCAAAAAATGGCTAACTGTATGGGTTTGTTCCAGGGATCGAGAACTAGAGAATTCCATATCCTATTCCCATTGCATTTCTGCACACACAGGAGAGTTAAATGCTATTTTATGACTCCATTTTACAAGATCCTGCTGCATATAAACAACCCCTTGAATCTGTGTGTCATACAGTCCCTTTGTATGAGCCTTCTGACTTGTACATGAATCACTCTCTTAATTCCTAATGACATTAGCCATTTGTTTGATCTCAGCCATAACCTTTCCTCTGTCTCTGTGGGATTAACTAAACATTTGAATTTTCCTGTAACTTCAACAGAAATGACTGAAGAAGTGACATATGCAGACCTGAAGTTCATAACATTGGAAAAACTCCAGAACCAGGAGCTTCAAGTTGCCAGAGCAAAAGGTAGTGGTGATGTTGGGAGGCAAATCTCTTCAAGGTGAATTCTCACCATGGAGGAGAGTATCTTTTAAGTGACACTCAGGAGGATGTCACCTACATACTGCAACTCAGCTTCTAGGAGCCTTTGGACTCAAATCTCCAAATAAACCAGAAGAACAGAAAGAAAGCATGAGATTAAAAAGAATGGGAGGTTGGAGAATGTGGAAAAACTGTTTAGACTTGAAAGGAAAGATATAACTGAAGTTATGGGATGCAGTTAAGCAGAAGTAAACATGTTCAGGTTAGATATTAAGTGTCATTTCCTAGAAGTTAGTGAAATAATCTGCCTAAGGGACCTTGTGAATGTCTTTCTGCTTATTTAAATTTGACTGACTGAATCAGCATGGAGTTAATGTGAGGGAAAAATTACAGGTTATCCCTCAAGGGAGTGAACTGATAGAGAAATACCTCTATCATGTAGCTTCACAGAGGAAGAGAGGAATATGGCTGATTCCAAATCTGTATTCTATATGCTATTTATTAGTGCTTTAGAATCCTTCTAAAGGATGAAAGGACTAGATAAATAAAGAAATGTTTTACTCCAGCCTGAATAACCACCTG